AAAAAGTTAAAGAACAACAATAACAAAAAAAATGAAAATGAAAGAAAAAAATAATAATAATAAATGCAGTCATAGGGCTCGATTAACTTCTCTTCCAGTAGGTAGAGCTGTGCCCACTGGGCCAAGCTTCTCTTCTGAATAGGTGGGAACCAATCACTGTGCAGCAGCTCTTCCTCCCATACTGTTCGGGTCTCCAATCCTGAGTGCCTAGGGCTTTCTCTTGTGTTTCCTCAAGCCAGGCCCCGCTCACCTGTGACGGTCACCACAATACTGGCTACACGCCAGGTCTGGTGCTCCTGGGAGCCCTGTTTTCATGAAAGTCTGGGCATACTCTCCCTGTTTACCTCCCTCAGACCCTAAGTTTGTAGAGCTTGGGGCTGAGAACCCCCAGCGAATTTGCTTGCCCTCTGGTAGCCACTCCCCCAGTAGCTGGTGCAAGGGACCTCAGTTGTCAGCACTGGTGGGAGCAGTAGCCAGGAGTTCCGCACCGCTAGTCCCGCGCCGCTAGTCCCACGCCACTCCTGATTCCCTCAGTCTGGCTATCTTGCTCTCGGGAGAGCTGGGAGGGGCCCTTAAGGTTTCTCTGCTGTGTGGAGAGGGATGGCTAGGGGATTACACACCTGTCGCCGCTGGTTTCAATGAAGTTATCTCCTCCGCCCGTGACGTCAGTTCTCTGCCATCATGGTATCCCATGCAAATGGTGACCGTTCGTTCCCTTTGCTGGGTGACCAATGCAACGGGTGGGTCCGGACTGTCTCTCCCAAGCCGCGTTTCAATCCTGTGGCCACTGCCTATGAAGGCTCGGTTGGCTTTTACCTCTGTAAGTTCAGGAGGGCCAACCAGTTATTTCAGTGCAATCGTTAGTGCTGAGTCAGGAGAAGCAGGCGAACCGGAGCTTGAATGCAGCCGATCAGGGCTTGGTGTGTTCCGAGAGGCCCAGACTGTTCGCCCCAGATCCACATCAGCTCAGCATTGCCTATTGATCAGGTTGCCATTTTTCTTGAACTCTCTTCCCCTCTTAGCGGGTGCAGTTCCTGCATCAGTCTGCAGAGGAGGTTGGAGCAGAAGTGCCCAAGTCCCCTCTTATTTGTTTATTTTTATGTGGTACTGAGGATCGAACCCAGTGCCTCACACATGCTAGGCAAGTGCTCTGCCACTGAACGTGTTACACCCCCAGCCTGTGATTTACTTTTTTTTAATATTTATTTTTTAGTTGTAATTGGACACAATATCTTTATTTATTTTTGTATGGTGCTGGGGATCGAACCCAGGGCCTCGCCCATGCTAGGTGAGTGCTCTACCGCTGAGCCATAACCCCAGCCCTATGATTTACTCTGTAATTTTTGCCTTCTGTGTCTTTGCATGTAAAAGTGCTTTTAAATTTAATTTCTGTTAATGTTTTTGCATAGTGGGAAACCCTGTAATTCCTTTATTTACTTAACAGGTGGAAATGTAGCATACCAAATAAAATTATTCTAAAGTACTTCTTTCATTCAGCATTTTTTGGGGGCGTGGGTGCCTGGTATTGGACTCAGAGGCATTTGACCATGGAGTTACATCCCCAGCCCTATTTTATTTAGAGACAAGGTCTCACTGAGACCTTACTTCACCATTGCTGAGGCTGGCTTTGAACTTGCCATCTTCCTGCCTCAGCCTCCCAAGCCACTGGGGTTTCAGGCATGTGCCACCATTCCCAGCTTATTCAGCATTATTTTTAATGAAGCAAAGTTAAAAGATCACAAACTATATGTAGTGAAGTGCATTTTCAATTTGAATTTGATAAACTCAAATCCAACTTAATTCCCTTTTTCTTTGCCTTCCATCTCCTCCCATTCCTAGAACAATCCAGCCATTCTTTCTGTTCTTAAATTCAGCCTTTGTAAGAAAAAACTGCATAACATTGAAGAAGTGTTATTCAAAGTCAGGACTTCCAGTCTAATTTAAGCTCTTAATAGTTTTGGCAATTCTTTTACATCTCTGTGTATTTGAGACCATTATTGCATTTCTAGAATTCCCTACCCATCTTCATAGATGCTCTTGCCTTCTACTTATAAAGAAACAGATTATTAGTATTAAACTCCAGGTTTCCTCCCTTCCCTTCTGAAGTTTTTGGGGATGACTCTAATCTTGCTGTATTTCCATCCATTTCAAAGGAAATGGTTCCTTTCACATGGAAAATGAGGTCTAGATTTCAAACTCACCAACTCTAGGACTTCAGTTATTTTGTCTACATTATATGTCATCTAGTTTTCTCCTGTGCTAATAAACATTCTGAGTCTTTCCCATCTCAGAGGTTCTCCCTTGAACTTGAATCCCTCGCAAGCCCTGTGTTCACCTTTTTCTGAGTAGCCACACTTCTTGTAGAATGGCTTAAACCCAGTAACTTTATTGTTATCATTCATTTCCTCTGCAACCCTGCCTGGCTGTCATTACCACCACTTCATTGAAACCAACCTTATTAAAATCACTGGTGATTTCATGAACGTCAATTCTAGTACTTTTTTCTGTGTTTATTTTCTGAACTATAAAATATATAGTAATGTTCATTAAACATATTTATGCAGTTTAACAAAAACTGTGAACACTCAACATTATTACCACTAAATCAAGAAACACAGAACATTTTCAGCACCCAGTATACATCCTGTACCACAGCTGCATTCCTCATTAGTACCAATTATGTGCTTATTTTGCTTCTCATGATATTTTGCTTCGTTTCATCATCATCATAAGATAACGTACATGTTCACCCCAAAAGTTTCCTCCTGCCCCTGTCATTCTTCCTACTCTCCTCTCTCTACTCTCTCCCCGACTTCACCCCAACCATACCCTAACCAGGCAACTATGGAGCTTCTCTCTGTCATTACAGATTAGCTTGCTTTTTTTTAAGTAGTATATAAGTAGAGTCATACAGTTTGTACTCTTTCTCTGTCTGGTTTCTTTTTTTTTTTTTTTAGTATAATTAAGATTCATCCATATTTTAGCATGTATCATTGATTCATTCATTTTTACTGCCAAGTGATATAGATCATTGTGTGAATGTATTAAGATTTGTTTATCTCTTCACCAGTTAGTAGATATTAGGGCTGTTTCCAGTTTTGGACCATTTCAAATAAAGTTGATATAAACATTCATGTTTATGCCTTTGTATGAATATACACATTGATTTCTCTTGAGTAGATACTTATAAGAAGCCAGACACAGTGATACATGCCTGTAATCCCAGTGATTCAGGAAGCTGAGGCAGGAGGATTACAAGTTGGAGGCCAGCCTGAGCAACTTTGCAAGATCTTGTCTCAAAATAAAGAGTGCTAGGGGGATAGCACAGTGATAGAGTGCCCTTGGGTTAAATCTCTTGTACCACAAAAAACAAAACAAACAAAAACATATAGAAGAAGCTAAATAAGACCTGTAGTCTAGTTCACAGTAGTATGTCAGTGTCAGTTTCCTGGGAATATTGTAGTATAAGAATATATTATGTTACCACTGGGGCAAGCTGAATGAAGGATACATGAGACTCCTTATAGTATATTTGCAAATTCCCACGAATCCATAATTTTTTCCAAAAAGCCATTATATTATAAAATAATACATCTTAATTATATAAAATTGAGAAAATACCAAAAATATTTGAAATACTCATATTCACACCATCTGGAGGTTTTTGTTTTTAAGAAACAGGGTTTTGCTTTGTTGTCCAGGCTGCGCTCAAACTCCGGGGCTTAAGATCCTCTTTCCGCCAGCCTCCTTAATAGCTGAGACCACAGGCATGTGCCACTGCAGTTGGCATTAAATAATTATTAATAATGTTTTGATGTATACCCTTCCAGTGTTTTTGATAGATTTTGCTTTTTGTTTGAGTGTTTTTACTAAATACTAATAGATTTTGTAGCCTGGACAACAGAAAGGTTTATTCTTCTTTCCTGTTATGATATTAAGAAAACAATTTATTTTATTTTTATTTTTAACTTTTTTGTGGTGCTGGTGATGGAACCCAGGGCCTCATGCCTGCTAAGCAGGTATTCCCACTGAGCTACATCCCTAGTCCAAAAACAGTAGATTTTGTAATTATGCATTCATTCCAAAGGTGTTTACTTCTAATTTATTTTCTTTCTTTTTCTATCTTCTAGTTGATGACAGTGCAATTTTGGATTGCCAGTTCAGTGAATTTTATCATACTCCTCCACCCGGTTTTGAGAAAATATTATTTGAACAGCAGATCTTCTGAATGTATTATTTTTGAAACTTGTATTTCTGCACTGTTACAAGTGTTTACCATTTAATAAAGCTTTATCTGACCTGTAGATGAAATTATATTCTTAAAAATTTGCTTGTTAATATTATCTAAAGAAGCATTGTATTCAATATGCCACCCAGAGTGTTGAGTTAAAATAATTATGCTTTGTGCTATAAAAATCAGCATTTGGGGCAGTTTATTAATTCTTATTTAAATAAATATATCTATGAGTTTTATTAACAGTATTAATGGTAATATGTGTATAAATATTTAAAAGGGAATCTTTCTTATATAAAGTGTTTTGATAGAGATAAGAGAGTTGGGTGATTTTTTTTGTCATTCTGAAATTTAGATCTCACTAATTATTTTAAATCTGAAGCCCAGTAATTTTGTGTCTCCTTGACTTTTTTATATACCTTATAACAAAATAACAAATTTATATTATTGGCAACTTCATTTTTTTTAATCTATTTATGGTATTAATGTACCACTTATAACTTAAATTGCTTATTGTTATATCACTATTTTTGATTTGCTTTGTAAAAGAAGTTAAAAATTTTAGCACTTGTCAGAGTATTTTGCTGAAGACCACCATGCTGTGTTACTTCAGAGTAAGTGTGTTGATTAATGATGTAGTGTGCACTGGCAGACATTTAGAGTAAGAATAGTATGCTGCTTTAAATTTAAATGAGATTATTCTCTTAAAGACTTTATTTAAATATGTTTTCTGTAATGAATGATAGTAGTAATTAAGGAATATTCAGTTCTATATTAAATAAATTTATCCTGTTTTGTTAATTGTACAATAAATTCACTTCTCCCTTATTTTAGAAGTTCAGAAACAAGTGATTCTTTTCCATGACCTTGAGCCTTTGCCTAGGTTTCATTGAGAGTCATGGCCACTTTCCCTTTTTTTCAAATGAGCATGCTGAAGATTTATATATTTCACTCCTTTAATGAACAAGAAGCAGTACAATATACTGTATTAGAAGAACATGGACATTAAAACTGGGTGGACATCTGAGTTGTAGTTTTGCTTCTAATGTCATTATCTTCTCAGGAGGTGAGTTTTCAGTGCCTCCATACCCCAAGATTCTCCACTTAAAGGAAAGGAAAATTATACCCACATGCTAAGATCCTACAGCTAGTCAGTTAATAAGATTATATATGTAAAATGTCTTACTCATCATAGGCACTGAATAAATGTAGTTTCTTCCTCATTGTGAAGCAGTGGTTTTCATGGTGTGCCTCAGGTCAGTAGCCTGGCATCATCTGGGAATTTGTTAAAATAATGGATACTCCGAGATCTCAGCCCAGACCCCAAATCAGAAACTGCTAGGTATGGCAGCCAGAAATCTGTGTTTTAACAAGCACTCAGATAGATCTGATAACACTCTTTAAGGTTTGAAGACCACTGAAAAGACAATTTTTTGGTTGGGGGGTCGTTATTGGGGATTGAACTCAGGTGCACTCAACCACTGAGATACATCCCCAGCCCTATTTTGTATTTAGAGACAGGGTCTCACTGAGTTGGTTAGTGCCTCACTTTTGCTGAGACTGGCTTTGAACTCTGGATTCTCCTGCCTCAGCCTTTCGAGCTGCTGGGATTACAGGCATATACTACTGCGCCTAGCAGGAGACCATTCTTTGAAAAGGATTGCCTGCTGAAATTTTTCTACACATTTGGGACAGGCTATTTTTGCCCCAAAAGCTAGAGAATCCTGCACAATGCTTATTTGTTTATTTGGTAGACCAAAAAAAAAGAAAAAGTGACAATGTGCTTTGAAAATATAGATATACATAAACCTCACCTTTTACCTCTGAAGATAAATAGAATTGAACTTCCTGGGTGCAGTGGCACAGGATCACAAGTTCAAGGCAAGCCTTAGTAATTTAGCTAGGCCCTGAGCAACTTAGTAAGATCCTGAGCAATTTAGTAAGACCCAGTCTCAAATTAAACAATTAAGGGCTAGGGATATGGCTCTGAGGTTAAGTACCCCTGGGTTCAATCCCTAGTACCAAGAAGGGGGGAAAAAAAAAAAGAATTGAACTAGCTATGTGTTACTTATGCATTTTCATCAGACTTTCACAGTAATTTTAGTTCATGAAGAACGGGTTACAAAAGAAGCAACGATATGAAGAGAGATCCTACAGAGTGGGAGAATATCTTTGCCACATGTACATCAGCTAGAGCACTAATCTCCAGGATATATAAAGAACTCAAAAATTAACACCAAAGAAACAAACAACCAAATCAATAAATGAGCTAAGGAACCGAGCACACATTTCTCAGAAGAAGATATACAAGTGATCAACAAATATATGAAAAAATGTTCAACATCTCTAGTAATTAGAGAAATGCAAATCAAAACTACTGTAAGATTTTGTCTCACTTCAGTCAAATTGGCCGTTATCAAGAATACAAGCAATGAGAGGCTGGGGATGTGGCTCAAGTGGTAGCGCGCTCGCCTGGCTTGCATGTGGCCTGGGTTCAATCCTCAGCACCACATACAAACAAGAATGTTGTGTCCACCGAGAACTAAATATAAATTTAAAATTCTCTCTCAAAAAAAAAAAAAAGAATACAAGCAATGAGTGTTGATGAGGATGTGTGGGAAGACATTGCTGGTGGGACTGCAAATTGGTGCAACCACTTTAGAAATCACTATAGAGATTCCTCAGAAAACTTGGATTGAAACCGCCATTTGACCCAGTTATCCCACTCCTCTGTATATACCCAAAGGATTTAAAATCAGCATACTGTAGTGACACAGCCACATCAATGTTTATAACAGCTCAATTCACAATAGCTAAACTGGAAACAACCTAGATGCCCATCAATAGATGAATGGATAAAGAACCTGGTATATATTCACAATGGAAAATTACTCAGCATTAAAATAACAAAATTTCGGCATTTGCAGGTAAATGGATGGAGTTGAAGACTACCATGCTAAGCCAAGTAAGCCAGTCCCAAAAAACCAAAGGCCGAATGTTTGCTCTGGTTAGTGAATGCTGTTGCATAATGCAGGGCATGGGGAGGATGCAGGAATTTTGGATTGGGCATAGGGGAGGGTGGAAATGGAATGGGTCATGGGGCAGGAAAGATGGTGGAATGAGACTGACATCATTACCCTAGGTACATACATGTTTGTACGAATGGTGTGATCCTACATCGTGTACAACCAGAGAATTGAAATGTTGTGTTCTATTTGTGTATGATGAATTGAAATGCATTCTGCTGTCCTATAAGTACGTAGGCCAAAAAAAAACAGACTTGGGAAAGTGAACTATGATGACTACTGTTTGCTGTCTTTGTAGTGTTATGTTATCTACCTCTTTTATTTTAAGGCAATCTCTTTTATCATCACATTATTTTATACAGGCATAGTGCTAAAAATGATACATGAGTTATGTCCATGGTAACAGTTTGATGAAATTTAGATGTGTTTTTAACCTGTAGGTACCAAATTCTCTTATGAAAATTATGCTCTTCCTTCCAAAACTCTTAACCTTAGTCTGATCATGAGGAAAACATCAGACATATCCCGAAAGGGGATCATCCTACAAAATATTTAACAGTGTGCTTCAGAACTGTCATGGTCATCAAAAACAAGGAAAGAGAAACTGCCACACCCCAGAGGAACCTAATGAAACATTATACATCAATGTAATGTGTCCTAGGTAGGATTCTGGATATTAGGTTAAATATTTATATGTATATGTATATGTATGTATATATGTATACATATACATATATATGGATAAACCATGGCTTTTGTTAATTAATGTATCAATTTCATTCATTCATTATAACAAAAGTTGTTTACTAATGTAAGATGATCATCATAGGAGAAACTGGGAGAGGACAGAAGTGGAAACACTAAGATCTCAATGTTTCTGTAAATCCGAACTTTTTAAAAATCATGTCTTTTTAAAAGTACATTGAGCTGGGAAAATTTTTAAACACAGCCTTTAGTTAGGCTAATAGGATGATGCCAGTACAGTATTTACCCATAACTCACATGGTAGCTATGTATAAACATAGGTAGAACATAAAGCATTCTTGTTTTTGTGGGGAGGGGAAGAGACTGTACCAGGGGTTGAACTCATGGGCACATCCCCAGCCCTATTTTGTGTTTTATTTAGAGTTGTTCTCACTAAGTTGCTTAGTGCCATTCTTGTATTTTAACACACAAACACTTGGATTTATTCCTGGCTAAAGAAACTGTGTCCATTGTCTTGATTCTGAATATTTAATAGTCCATTTGTCCCCACTGGGTGACTTTTCCCAGTCACTGGAAATTAATCAACGACTTATCTTCCATGTTACTTCAATGATTTAAACAATGCAAGTGATATGCAGTGTTAAATATATGAGACAATAAAAAATATGAATTATCAGTTTGCATGTTAACTAGAAAAAGAATTTATTTGGCTTTTGTGGGCAGCCAGTCTGAATGATTTCGAATTCTCCTTCCCTGAGCAGAGAGGCTCTGACCTGCACTACATCTCTTAGTGACTTGGACATTGCCCCAGTCCCGGAAGTTTGAGGACGTGTCTTCAGACGTAGGTGTGTCACCCCGTGGATTGAGTTACACTCACCTGTTCCTTTGTGATATTGCCCTTTTGCCCTGTTTGGCATAGAATGTTCCATGGAAATGCCCTTTGTGTGTCCCCTTCTCTTGCTCTGCCTTTGGGTGTGGCCTTTCTAGATGTCAATCAACCTGCTGACAGCAGACATCATGAAGCTAGACTCAGCCCCCTGAAACCTGACCCCTTGCCTCATTTTAATGGCTTCTCCTCAATAAAAGGGTTCTGCACCTGCTTGCTCTCTTTCTGCGGATCCTTAAGGTCAGAGGAGCCATCACAGGACCCCAAAGAAAAAGGTATCTCTGTCTCTTGTGTGGTTATTTTGTGCAGCCCAGTTCTCCTGGAGTGACCCTGAGTGTTTTAGTTGTGTTCCTCACGATAGGCTTTCAGTTGCCTTTGGATCACCAGATAATATTGAAATATATTTTCAATTTGGATTAGAGACTATTAAGAATAGTATAAAATAAGATTATAATTTGAAATTAAGGCTTTCCTAAATCATTAACAAAAACAGACAAATGTGTATTTTTGCCCACATTTCTTTATTGTTTACTTCTTAACGTAAGTCTACATACAAATGTAAGTCTAGCCAGGCGTGGTGGTGCACTCCTATAATCCCAGTGACTCAGGAGGATGAGCCAGAAGGATTGGGAGTTCAAAGCCAGCTTCAGCAACAGTGAGGTGCTAAGCAACTCAGTGAAACTCTGTCTCTAAATAAAATGCAAGGTAGGGCTGGGGATGTGCCCCCCAGATTTAATCCCTGGTACCAAAAAATAAAAAAATTAAAAATCCAGAGGTAAAATAACTGGTACCTAATTATTAAATAGTATAAATAGAGAAAAATGTTAAATATAATTAGCAATTAAAATGAATCCTACATCATCTATCCAAGAGTTTTATAGAAATTTAAAGGAAAAATTTCCCCATTGTTAGATAGAATGTGTAATCTATTGTTACATAGAAATCATTACAATGTAGTCATTCAAAAATTAAATCGATTATGCTTTATTCATACTATGACTACAGTATCCAAGTTATATTAAGAGAAAATGCAAGTCATTAAAACATTTGTATGTATAATCTGATCCATTAAAAAAACCTAAATCCTCATGCATAGGAAAAAGTATGAAGTAATGTTCAGCAAAATATCATATCTTGGGAATAAGTACTGGAAACCAGTGCTTTTACTATCTAATAATTTTTAAATATTTATTTTTAACTGGACACAATATTTATTTTTTAGATGGACATAATATCTTTATTTTATATTTATGTGATGCTGAGAATTGAACCCAGTGCCTCACACATGTTAGGCGAGCGCTCTACCTCTGAGCCACAACCCCAGCCCTCTAATAATTTTTTAAAACAATTAATTTGTTTTTTTTTAATTTAAAAAATAATTTTTAAAAATAAAAGGACAGACTCTGGAGGAAGACCTGAATATTGGAGAATGACAAGTTTTATATCCATACCTACAAATCTAAAAAGATGCAGTAGAATCCTAACTTCATTAAGTACTTACAGGATACACTGTGTTTCTTGAAAAGGATTCAGACCTGTTAATGGCATGCCAGACAACATTGTGCACCTGGGCTCCAGATCCCAGGAATTAATAGTGCCAGTGAAACCA